GAAAAATCTGTTTCCTGATGGTGCAGGCAACAGGATGTTTCAAGTTAAACAGGAAACACAAGTGCCTCACATCTTCTGGGTTTCCACAATACTGTTTTGTCAAAAATAAATGATTGGGAGTTTCTTCACTATGAGTATATATGTATACTATTAATATATATGCATACTGCATATAAAACATAAAAATATATTGTTTCCCAAGAAAAGAACATCTAAAATCTGACTTTTGAATGAGTCAATTTATTTTTGAAATCTACTATTTTACATAAATCTGGATAAACTGCCTCCAAAACAGAGCCTCGACAGTAGAGTTGGGTGGATCTCCTTTTGGGGGAGAGAATATAGAAGTGCCTGGCACAGATAAGATAGGTAGGATTTCTTTAAACACTAAGGCCTTTCTCTTTATTAGAATCTACTCTTCTAAAATCCAAGGAACATGCTTGAAGATGCTTATTTTTGGCTTTACATAATACCATGATTTTCAGCATTACTAAATCACTTTGATCATCATTTTAATCTTATTGAAGAATTCTTCCCTCTTGCATAGAATCCAATCAAGAATAGCCTTTTCTCTGAATCCCCCCCCCCCCTTTGAAATAGGAAGTTATTGAAAGGGTCTGTCAGGAATTTGTTGTCTCTCAACCGAGTTCAGGCTTGGTGATATCTCCTTTGACTTCTAATTACTGCTTCTCTGAAACATTTATAATTTGTTTCATCCATACCCTTTGCCACAAGGATGCATATTTTTGTTTACTCTCTTGGATATCTGTGCAGGTGTACACATTTTTTCCATAGCTCTCTCCCTTTCCCTTTGTGCTATACTTTTAAAACAAGTTATTGTTCCTAATTATAATAGTCATTCCATGAATGTTATGTTATGTCTATCAAGTTATATGAGCTTAAATTGGTCTTTCTTTACTGTGCATATCAGTAAAGAGGTGTCAAAATGTGTAGCTGCTGTTTTATTGTGGATATTCCTAGATAAACCTTCAATGGTACCCAAATTCTGCTCCATCCTATTTGTAGTACTTATTTTTGAATGTACCCTTGGGATAACATGCTGAGGAATATGTTCTGCAGAATTCCAACTTTTCTGCGCCTTCTGCAGAACTGCTTAAAATAACATTAGGACTGTGTTAAAGAACAGTATGTTTATGTGTGCTGCTTTACATTAATTCTTAATATTGGTGAAATTGAATGCACATAAATATTTGAAAAATATTTTGAAAAGGAACGTGTTTTTATGAATTAAACTGGAAATTAATTCATACTTTCTTTTGCAGTCATTGGGTGTCCTTCAGTTTGACCTTAACTTTATTACGTTTCAGTGTGTTCATATTTTCCTCAAATTCCATTTCTGGTTTATATCAGTATTAAACTATTCCAGACAGGATCCAAATTTATGATGGCTAGCACCATGTGTGTCCAATTTTAATGGGGTGTTTTCAGTAATGTAAACAGTAAAGTTTAGAAATTCTGATGTAAGCACTGATTTAAATAAGCATTTCCCAAATGTTCAGTATCTGATTCAAAAATGGAATTTCTCCTCACTACTCCCACTGAAGAAAAATGGCAGTTCTCCAGAGGAGTCCACCCCTTGTGTTCCTGAGTCACAGGCTAGTCAGTCAGTCATGAGTCACAGGCATGTGTCAAATATAATAAACCATAATCCATTTTAACTATGGTTTGTTGAATAACAATGGTATCTGAGTTTGTCCCTTATGGTAAGTTTACACTTTGGCTTACAAACCATGACGGCTTGGTTTGCATAGCATAGTAAGCCCAAAATGGTCAACTCCCAATACAGCTTAGCATGGTTTATCAACTGAGCCATCAACATGTCTAATTCAAAGTAACATAGAAACTGCATTGTAAGAAGTCAGTTTATTTGACCACTTAGCACTCGAGTTGTAATTTTATGTAACTGAGATATGTATGTATTTTTTGTGTGGGAGCCAAACCAGTAACTCATGAAGATACAGGCTTGTCTCACATACATCATGTTTAAGTCATAGTGCAGGATATGGATTGGTGAGCTGTATGAATTCAGTTAATAATTTCATTAACTAGGTTTGTATAACATGGCTTGTGACTTATCAGTCACATTTCTATGATTAGCTAATTCATATTTTGGATGATGATGATGATAGAAATAATAATAATAGTAATAGAAATGCTTTACAATACAAAGGTGCCCAATTGTAGTAGACACCATTATGGGCAGAGTTGCTTACTCATCTCTAGCCCTTTCTTACCATTTTCTACCTCCTGTGTAGCTGCAGATACAAACCAAAAGTAAAAAAGAGTTAAGTTACCTAGAGGACAACTGCTCTATAACTTTGCCTCAGATGTGAGTGTTAATCTCCTGTGAACCCACTTCAGCCTACTTGCAAGACATGGTTGACTGGGATAAAGTGCTCAAATAATCTGGGGCTAATTTCCCTTGCCCTCATTTCCCACTGACTGGGTTATGATATTTGCATGATACATTAAATTCCCCTTGACAGAATTAAACAAGGTTAGTATTGTCCAGAACAAGGCTGTGAGTCACTTGATAGGTAAGGAGGAGTATTTTACCCAGAGTTTGTTACCATAATTTGTTGAAGGTTAATGTATCTTAATCACAGCCTGGTGTGGTGTCAGAATCTGTTTAAGCAGCTCTTAAGCTTCCAGGGAAATAAAGGGATGGGGAACTGTCCAACTACAACTTCTTCTGTAAAGTTGCAGAGTATATATGAGGGATGGTATACAGGCAGTCCCTGGGTTAAGAATGAGTTCTGTTCAAAGTCTTTAGCTGAAATTTGTATGTAAGTTGAAACAACTGCTGAAAACAGGCTGTATATTAAAAATGTGAGGCTTTAGCGATTCATGAAAACTTTGTGTGGCTTCAGCAGTTTGTCAGCTTGAGGAAGGAGAATGCTGTCTGCCATTTGTAGTAATAAGCAGCCCATTTGTAAGTATGAGTTGTTTGTAAGTTGGATGTTCTGAACCTGGGGACTGCCTGTATATTATATATCTGTCTGCTTAGATATATATATTCTAATGAAATACATTAAGTAATGATTAATTGTTTAGGTGCTGTTATGGCTGCCAGCTATCACAAATGTATGTACAGTAGTTTTAATTGGGTGGCTTTGCTTCCCCCACCTCCCATCTCTCTTCTGTAATGCTTTTGTCATCTTACAAAACAGACGGGGCACAATAGCACAGACCTATTTCAAACCTGAAGTCTCAGTATTTCATTGGGGTTGCCAGTAAAACTGTTAATTTTTTACTTGAAATGGTGCATTTCCTTCATGAGTTCATAACAAGCTATTCTCGGTAGTTGCTAATAATTAAGTACATTTATTAAACATCAACTGGGTTAGGTTGTTTATTCTGTTTAGCAGCATACTGAATATAACCAGCCTATGTAAGATTTTGAGGATAAGCAAACTTTAAAAAAGGCAAATATAACTCCCCCAAAATCGCAGGCATATAAATATAATTTGCTTGGAAATGGGGGCTTCATGTTATGTTTACATGGGCTTTTTGTTTCAGCTTGTATGTATTACTTCACAGCAATAGCCTGATTCTAAAAAGCAATAGGAATAATTTTGTAGGTGAGTATTGTCAAAAAATAAAATCTAGGCATATAGAAATATGCAGGGTTTCACTCTAGAGGGGATTGCTTTTGAGAAACTTTTAAAAAGAAATGATGTGTAAGTTGCTTTTAAAGATGGAAAACTAGCAGCCCTTTTATTGGATTAAAGTTATTGGATTAAAGAACAACAGCTGTGCTTTTCTGCAGAAAAAAAATAAAGGCTGTGGGCCAGATCAATTGAGGTGAAAATTTGTATTGGGCTACTCTGAGCCCTAAGCATGTCCTTGCAGTAATTTTGAGCCAAGCATTTTTACTGTTGACTTGGCATAACAAGAGTTCTGAAGAAGTTTCATATTACTTCTAATGAACCTTATGCACAAAGCATCAAAAAATTAGTTTCCATTGTTTCCTTTTGCCTAGCTGGTTTCAAGAAATCTCAGTGCTACATCTACCCATCCATCCCAGATGTAGGCCAGATGTGACATCTTGACTCTAGACCCTGTAGATCTTTATGCTGTTCTGAGACTCACAACCAATACAGGTAGCCCTCATGTAGCAATTGCCTTCTTTAGCAACCATTCAGTTACCAATGTAATGAAAAAGTAACTTTATGACCAGTCCTTGCATTTATGACCTTTGCAGGTCTGTAAAGCAAAGGAAAGTTGAAGTAAGATCATAAGCACAGTTGCAGTATCACTTGCTTTGCTTAATGACCAAGTTGCTGGTCTTAATTGTCACTAAACAAGGACTACTTGTACAGCCCTAAATCTGCAATGGTTTCCTGTTGCCAACTGTGTGAAAAATTAATAATGGTTAAGGTTAGGGTTAGAGAAGGTTAGAAAAGAAAGAAAATTGGGAGGAGGGAAGGCATTTGTTTTCCTTCTTCCCTGTATTTTTCTCAAAAAAAGTTACTTGTTAACAATATTGTTTATTAAAACATAAAATTGTTATTCATCACAGTAAGGGGGATTTCCAATAAAATTTGCAGGATGTAACAAGATAGATGCTTCCATTTAAGGAATCCATCATCACATTCTTGATCCTTTTCCCATTTCTTCTGAATATGCCATGAACTCAATATGCCATGAACTCAATCACTGAAACAATGCCATTATTCCTCATTTCTTATTCATATCTTGTAAAGAAGATTTCTTGGTACTTCTGCAAACCTCAAGGGTTTCCTTGTGTCCTGTTATTTCTATCTTATGCGAATGAAATGTATTGTTATTTACTATAAGTAAATAGTAAAAAGGCAATCCTTTTAATTTGTAAATATGTTTGTAGCTGATACATTTTGATACAGTTAAAAGCATTACTTTGTATATGTTATAGTTGTTTTAAGATTTGTTTCACCAGCTTTTCTAGTTTAAATATATCATTAACTACTTTTAAAATTGTTTCATTTTCTTTCTTACAGCCAGAAGACTTAACTTCAAACTCTCATATATTCAAGAGTAAAAACTTTAAGACAGCCAAATCCTGTAACATCTGCAAACAGACAATTGATTCCAATGGCGTTTCATGCAGAGGTGAGCCTTACTGTCTTGCATTTGTATTGCTTTAAATAGCAGAGCATTTTAAACTCTCAACTGAATGCTAAAGTCTGGTTTTTTAACCTTTTCATTGTGCAGTGGTCTTGCACTGATTTGTTTACATCTGTATAAGAATAAATTCCTTGAGCGGGTCTCCACAAAAAACAGGTTGACAGATTGTGTGGGAGGAACTTACTTGCATATCAGAATGTGTGTACATATAAACCCTGGTCTAGAATATATGTTTATGCAAGCAGTGGACATATTTTGCAGCCTTAGGTGGAAGACAGGACTTAAGAGTATGGCAATGATTCTCTGACTGTTTGAATTTTTGGCTGAAGCTGGGGCTTTTGGCATGCAGTAGAAAAAGCTTATTTATTTGTTTAGTTGACTGATTTATATCCTGCTTTTATTTTGTACAACTCAAGGCAGCATATATAATGCTCCCTCCTCTTATTTCCCACATATCAACAACCCTGTGAGCTGGGTTGGGCTGAAAGAAAGACAGGCCCAAAGTCACTCAGCTAGCTCCCATGCCTACAGGAAGACTAGAAATCACATGGTACTTTTAATTTTACTACAAAGTAAAGTAGGTCAAAATAGCAATAGCAATAGTAATAATAATAATAATCACCCCAGACTTAAGAACTGTTGGTAAGAAAGACAAAAAATCTGTATAGTGGACATTGCAATACCTGGAGACAGCAGAATAGAAGAGAAAGAACTGGAGAAAATCACAAAATACAAAGGCCTGCAAATGGAAGTGGAACAACTATGACAAAAGAAAGCAAAGATACTATCAATAGTTATAGGTGCCTTAGGTGTAATTCCAAAACATCTGGAGCACTACGTGAACACCATCAGCATTGACAAAATCACCATCAGTCAATTGCAAA